CGGCTGGTGAACGAGGCTTCGCTGGTGATGTCAAACACCACACACATGAGCGACGGCTGATTCCACTGACACACACACACACACACACATCATTACACACACATCAGGGCCACACTGAGTGTGTTTGGGTTGTTTTTATTAAACTCACCATGTTCTCACAGGCGTCTGCAAACGGCTCCCGTCCGGCTGAATCATAGATATAGAACTCCTGATAGAGACAAAATACACACCAATCAATCAATCAATCAGCAGGTATGATGTGTGTGTGAGTGTGTGTGTGTGCATCTGTGTGTGTGTGTTGTGTGTGTGTGTGTGTGTGTGTGTGTGTGTTGTGTGTGTGTGGTGTGGGTGTGTGTGTGTGCGTGTGAGCGTGTGTGCGTGTGTGCGTGTGTGTGTGAGCGTGTGTGCGTGTGTGTGTGTGTACCACAGCATCACTGGTGTCTGGGATGGACACTGATTTCTCCAGCAGCTCCACACCAACATTCTGCGAAACACGCACAGTTCAGTTCTGACCAAATCAGTCAGTCATTTGCAACACTAAAGTGTGATTGAACTTCAGTGTGTCTACTGATGATGTGGTGGATGTGCCGTGGTCTGCACCTGTGTCTCTCTCTCTCTTGTTTATTTATTTCACTTTTTTTTTTTACATTTATTGTTTTTGTCGAAACTTTTCCATGGACCCCGTGTTACTCTCTTGAGGCCCCTTTGGGTCCCCGGGCCCCAGTCTGCAAACCTCTGCTCTACAATACACCCATCATAACACACACACACACACACACACACACAACACACAACACAACACACACAGCAACACAACAACACAACACACACAAAATCAGACTTCTATTTACTTTGAGATATCGGAGGTTAAATACAGAATTAAAAAACTTAACCTTAAAAAAATAAATAAAGCATAAACATAAACTCAAATAGGAAACAAAAGCAATTTGGTAAAGAAATCAATCACATCTATATGCGTGTGAAAATATTCAGATGTAACCCCTTTGTAATCGTTAACATTTTCATAAGTAACTGTAATTTAATTACACATTTTTTTCTCAGTAACAGATTGCAGTTACATTTATTTTGTAATTAAATTACTTAATTCTGTTACAACAGACACGGTCACTATCATAATCATACGCAATAAGCACATACAAACAAACGCGCTCTTACCCACGACAACACATCTAGCTCTTAATTTCACCATCAGGCAGAGATTAATAATAATTAACTGATTACATATGAAGCGGAATGCGTGTAGATGATCGCAGCAGCACGAGCCTAAAGCGTTGCTTCGCGACTGAGATAAAGCGCTGCTATTGGTCTAAACGCTTTTTTCCTCAGCACTGCGATTGGCTGAACGGCGTGACGCAATAGACGTACGTCACTCCGACGTTAACGTAACGTATCTGTTTTGAAATGCGCTGCTAGAGGCCGCGCTTCACACGCGCAGCTAGAAATAACTTTATTTCCTCAAAATCATTTATATAATAATCCACTGACTGCGTGAGTTTAAACCGCTGTTGTTAAAAGAACAAGAAGAATTAGAAGTAGGTTAATAAGACCTAGTACTGATCGCAAAAGAAAGCGCGGTTGCTATGGTGACCATAACGCGACGCGATTCTACCGGAAGGTGAACCGGTCTAGAGCGGACTGAACCGGACTGATCTCAAACTCATGCAGCTGGTCTGAGTCTGAGCCGCGCATGCGCACAGATGCGCTGTAGATCTGACGCCGCTCACTTCCGGTCAAGATGGCGGCGCAGCGCAGTAGTCTGATGCAGAGCGTAAGAAAGTGTTTTTCTCTCATCATCAACACTCATAATTACTCATAATTACTCAGGACTGTGTGTGTAGTTTAACACTCGTGTGTTATGACTGAATCGCCAGTGTTAGTGTTTATTCCGTGTGCTGTGTTTAGCACAGTACATCTCTATCTTTACAGTGTTAAACCTCATCTAATGCTTTTATTCTGTTATTAATTTTTTAGCGTCACTGTTATGAGTCAGAAAAATAAACTTGTTTTGCATTAGATATTGTGTGAAACACTGTCAGTGTTTATTTTTTATGCCTTTATATCTTGTGAAGCACTGAGCTGCATTTCATCTATACAGATTAATTTTCGAACTTGAAAATCTTTATTGTCCACACGATATTATTATTAAAAATGTATTATTGTTTTTATTATTAAAATGTATTTATTTATTAAAAGCTTTTGTTTGCGTAATATATGTGTGTGTGCTGTGTAGCTTCGCGACTGAGATAAAGCGCTGCTATTGGTCTAAACGCTTTTTTCCTCAGCACTGCGATTGGCTGAACGGCGTGACGCAATAGACGTACGTCACTCCGACGTTAACGTAACGTATCTGTTTTGAAATGCGCTGCTAGAGGCCGCGCTTCACACGCGCAGCTAGAAATAACTTTATTTCCTCAAAATCATTTATATAATAATCCACTGACTGCGTGAGTTTAAACCGCTGTTGTTAAAAGAACAAGAAGAATTAGAAGTAGGTTAATAAGACCTAGTACTGATCGCAAAAGAAAGCGCGGTTGCTATGGTGACCATAACGCGACGCGATTCTACCGGAAGGTGAACCGGTCTAGAGCGGACTGAACCGGACTGATCTCAAACTCATGCAGCTGGTCTGAGTCTGAGCCGCGCATGCGCACAGATGCGCTGTAGATCTGACGCCGCTCACTTCCGGTCAAGATGGCGGCGCAGCGCAGTAGTCTGATGCAGAGCGTAAGAAAGTGTTTTTCTCTCATCATCAACACTCATACTGACTCATAATTACTCAGGACTGTGTGTGTAGTTTAACACTCGTGTGTTATGACTGAATCGCCAGTGTTAGTGTTTATTCCGTGTGCTGTGTTTAGCACAGTACATCTCTATCTTTACAGTGTTAAACCTCATCTAATGCTTTTATTCTGTTATTAATTTTTTAGCGTCACTGTTATGAGTCAGAAAAATAAACTTGTTTTGCATTAGATATTGTGTGAAACACTGTCAGTGTTTATTTTTTATGCCTTTATATCTTGTGAAGCACTGAGCTGCATTTCATCTATACAGATTAATTTTCGAACTTGAAAATCTTTATTGTCCACACGATATTATTATTAAAAATGTATTATTGTTTTTATTATTAAAATGTATTTATTTATTAAAAGCTTTTGTTTGCGTAATATATGTGTGTGTGCTGTGTATATTTATTATGTATATATAAATACACACACATGCATGTATATATATTTTGGAAATATTTACATGTGTATATTTATATTCATATAATTTATTTTATATAAAAATATATTTAATATATAAATTTAACATATTTTTCTTAAATATATACATGTATGTGTGTGTGTTTGTATATACATAATAAATATACACAGTACAGTACACACACATATACTATGTAAACAAAAACATTTATTTTGGATGCAATTGATTATTTCACAGGCCGCACTAATTAAGGCACATCATTTTCAGAAACCAGGTCTTTATATAATTTTGCATCTCAAGTGAATACATGTTGATTTCAGAATGTTTCAGTAGTTTTATTGGAAATCAAGGTCACAAGAGCATCATTTTGTGCTGAAAGTGTTCAGTAATTGATCTGTAGGCCGATCGGAGCGATTGATCGATCAGGTGTCTGCTGTGATTGCAGCATCAGAGCTGGACTGACGCTCTTCCTCTGTGTCAGCTGTGTGGCGTCGGTTCGGCCCCGAACTGTGTGTACGGCCCCGACGGGAAAGGGACCCAGAGCCACCCCAACGAAGACGGACACTTCTGCTTCAGGTAGAGCTGCTCGCAGACGCCTGCGCAGACTCTGATCAGTGTGAACTGATGTCACTTCCTGTTTCCTCCTCAGCACTGAGTGCTGCTTCCTGTACGGCGTGTTTAACGGCTACGACGGCAGCCGCGTGGCCAGTTTCGTGTCTCAGCGTCTGACGGCGGAGCTGTTGCTGGGTCAGCTGAGCACCGGTCACACGGACGCAGACGTGCGCAGAATCCTCTCACAGGTTTGAAATCTGAGAGAAATGTGCTCACCCTCAGTCCGTCCGAGATCAGGATGAGTTTGTGTCTTCATCAGGTTTGTAGAAATGTAGCATTGCATCAGTGTCTCAGCAATGGATGCTTTGCAGTGAATGGGTGCCGTCAGAATGAGAGTCCAAACAGCTGATAAAAAC